AAATTTCTCATTTCTACATGGATTTGGAGTTGCATTTTATTGCTTTTGTCTTGGTAGTGGTTGGAGATCTAAGTCACAGTGACTTCTAAACACTTCTACTTTTTTTTTTTTTACTAGCTTTAGGATGTTATTGGTGTTTTATTCCTTTGAAAGTCTCTGGCAATCAAGAAGATGACTTGGATCTCTAGGAGCTGCTTTTGAACTGGGACATTGGGCCATTTCTTCCAGAATACTTCATAAATTTGCTGTAATTTAGTGGAGGTTTTATTTTAGTCCTAATGTCTGTTGCAGATACTTCTTGAAAGTGATGTCTTTGATGAGAAATGAGACAATTTCCTATGTGTGTTTTACACTTGACAGACTTTTTATGTCTGAATGTGTAATGCTTTTGATATTTCCTCCATCAGACCCAAAGCAGTACTTAAATAATTAAAATGAAGAAGAAATTAAGCTATAGCCTGATAATCTTCTTGAGGCACCTCCCTACTGTGGACTGCAGTTTGGCACTGAGATACCTGAAGTAGCTTTGAAATAACCGGCTCCGTTAGCAACAAGTCATTGTATATTTGAGCACTTTAGAACTCAAACATAACCTTGATGAAAGAGCAGCAATGTTAAGTTCTATTCTAGGTTGGTATTTTTTCATGACCTCTTCTCATCAAAAGGAACCCTAGCCTGGATCAAACTAAATGTTGTGTGGCAGGATAATAGGCAACATTTTCTGACAATAAACTGTCCTAGGTATATGTGCATGATATCTATGCCAGTTAGTTTTTATACCTGACTTTAAAAAAGAGAGGTTAGGTGTTAAAGGTTGAGGAAGAAATGAACGAGCCCTTTCTTCTATGGCACACAGAGAGAATTTCCTGAACAACTGAGTGTTCCAAAGTGACTTTGTTGTGTGGTGCATGAATTGGGGAGAAAAGAAAGATATTTTGCAAAATATATATATGCATGAATTTTGACATCTGATTCATGTTTCACATGCTGAAGTTGAGGTTATCTGGTGATTGATCTGCCTACTGTGTGTTTGGGTTATGCAGTATGATTGGGTGAACTCAATTCTTACACGGCATCAACTGTTTACTGTAAGTTTACTGGTTATTTTTTATCATAAAACTCATTCTTCACCACTTTTTGTACACTGTGATATTTTGTACTATATTTTTGGTAAAAAGATACCTGTCTTTTAATTCTTGTATTTTAATACTGTTATATGAGACACTTCCCAGGAGATAGTATTGTAGACAGTTTGCAAAGGCACTGAAATATTAGTTAGTCAAGTTTTAAAGATCGTATTCTTTCTCCAGTGTTTCAAAGATTAGATTGCTCAAACTCTTTTTAGAGAACAGTTGATAACTGAACAAATGAAGCCAAAGTATTTGTACATAAAAATTTACCATGATGATTACAACAATGTATCTCATTAGTCTAAGTAATTACTTTCTTTATTTTAAAGATTTCTTGTTTCTTTTACACACTAATAAATGACAATTATCTGACTGGTTAGTGCTGGTTAGAATACCTTTAAATTTTGATTAGAGAAAGGAAAATTGAACATTTTTGGTTGGAAGAAAATTTGTTGGGGAATTACATTTATTTGCTTTCAGTGAAAACTGACAAAAATTGTGATTAGCTGAATTCTAACATCTCCATTATCATAGAATTATAGAATATTTTGCTGTGGAAGAGACCTTTAAAGGTCTTGTAGTACAACCCACCTGCAGTGAGCCGGCACATCTTTAACCTGATCAGGCTGCTCAGAGCCCCGTCCAGCCTGACCTTGAATGTTTCTCTGTACCCACTCCAACAGGTCCATTGTCTTTCATAGAATCACAGAGTGTTAGGGGTTGAAAGGGACCTCAAAAGATTGTCTTGTCCTTACTTAATTCCTTCCTGTTCCTCATTCATATATGTCGTAAACTGATGACTCTGTGGAGTTTCTGTTGTTAGACCTGTCATTATGATTGATATGGAAGGACATTGACCAAGGAAGGCTGATGTTATCACTGTCTTGGAGGACTCCGGAGCAGAATTGTAAGTGAAGCTGCTTCAAGGAAAGTGCACTATGATGAGGCTCACTTTACCATAAACTGTAGTAAATAAAAACCCTGGAAAGCACTGATGGGACAGATTTAAACTCTGTCACATAAAAAGAAATTGCCTCATGATAAGCCTTAAGCTGTGACCTCTTTCCCTCACATAATTGTGCAGATTCCTGCCTGGGATAATTTCTCACACATAAACCCATTCTTTAAGAGCATGGAGCCAGCTTCACTGGCTCACGTGCCAACCTTTTCTGGAGTCAAGAATGACTATGCTATGGGCAAAAATATCCACACACCCCAGGCTCCTCACTGTTGATACTGTGTGCTGTGTTACGCTTCCTGCAAAGAGCTTCACTGCATCCCATCTGCTCAGGCATCAAGATTATTTCTTTGCCGAAGATGAGGTTGTGGGCTAGAAACTGTGAAGTGGGCTTATCTCTGGTTAAGCAAGCAGCAGGGAGTAAAGACAGTATTTTATACTGTGGGTGGAGACAGAGAAACTGTTGAAGAAGTAACTTTTTTGAAGACCGTATCCAATCTCAACAGTTCCTTGGAGCGTGGGTGTTCATCTGTCAGGAGGATTAATGATGAACTTAAGTTTTTAATCAAAAAGCTATTCTTGCTGAGTTCTGGATGGCTCTGTCATGCGTAGCTATCATCACTCTTTAAAAGTAAATTTTGTTAAAGATAACTACTTCATAAGCTTGAGGAACTGATTCAAGCAGCTACTATTGACTGTCTAGCTCTGATCATCAAAGAAATCATTATTTCAGATAAAATAGCTGCATAAAATATTTTTAAACTTGCGCAGAGAATAAACCAACATCACAGCAGTACAATTCCTTCAACTGTGACTGCTGGTTTAAGAGTAAAAAATGCAGGCCAATGCTTTGCAAGAGAGTGTGTTGTGTGTTCTGAAGTTTGTAAGAGCTACAAAAAATTTTAGTTGTCTTTTTGGAGATGGGAGGTTCTAAAAATGAGCGGATCTGGTGTAAGTCTAATTTACTCTAAATCTGCATTTCAGAATCCGTTTGGTAAAACCATTCTTAACAGCAATTATTTGGGAAATATGTTAAATTTATGACTTGTTCATATTCAGAGCTGATTTAATGTCATCAGTATGTGCAACGAAGACAACTAGTAATGGCTTTTATTTTAAAATGTTACAGTCTCATGATTCCATTGCAGAATGATGAAACAGTTGTACTACAATTTATAAGAACAAAATATGCATAAGGAAGAAGTGTGCTAATTTTTATGGTTTTTACAATGAGTACGATAAGAATAAGAACTGTTTATGGTAGTGTGACAAGGAAAAGGAAGAGGAATAAATTTATACAGACTGTTGTATAACACTTTCTGATTTAAGATTATTTTCTTTAGAGATTAAAAAATGCTTTGTCTTATGACATTGAAATGCTGGCCCAGTGACGTGTATAAAATTCCTAGTTACTTAAAATCAGTGGGTTTTTAATCTATATGTAGGTTAAAATGTTTGTTTTGTCATTATTATACTGCTGCAGTAATTTTGTTAAAATGTTGCATTTTGGGAGTCAAAATGTACTCTAAACTTGCTCATGATATTAATAATAAGAGACAAAATGGAATTCAATGCATTTGAGAGAAACAAGAACAGATATTCTAGGATTAAACTGAGTGATAGTAAAGCCTTTGCATAATCATGGTCTTGCATAACCAAGGACATATTTGTTTTTAATGAGTAATCTGATTAATAAGGTGAAAACTGCATGTCAAAGTCAATAGAAAAATAATTTCTAGCACATGGAATTTGTCTATTATATTTGTGTATTCTTCTGCTGTGTTAAGGAGTTTCTTACCTTTAATCTGTGCCAAAAATTTGTAGACATGATCTCCAGTGTCTGCATGGGAATTTGGATTGGGAAATACTGAATTACTGTTATTTAGATAACACAGTCTCTTGTAAGAGATTTAGACTAAATTTATGATGAAAGGTTATGATTGAGGTTCTATCAAGAAATATGTTTCCTTCCTGGAAATATTTCAGTTTCCTAACACGAACCTAGCTTCATGGAAACTGGAAACTGTTTCTGCAACTAGCAGGAGGTTTAGAAAGGTGAGCAGCGATACAACTACTTTGCACAAGAGGGACTGGGGCTGCTTTGAGCAAACCCCAGCTTCGAGCAGTAAAAGATATGTCTACACAGTATGGTGTAATTTTTTCCAAGGCGTGTGGGATTTAGCATGCACTTGAAAGAAAGAAACTTGCATTTGCCTTTCAGCTACAAGCCTATTCTTTCACATCCCTTAAAAAAAAAAAAAGAATAAACAATTGCGATAAACAATAGTCCATGATCTTTTTTCTTTGACTTGTCATAAGCATGCCTCTTACTAACGTAAATGCCTCCTTTTTTGCCAGCCTAGTTGGAAAATCAATGAATGACAACCTTACTCTTGTTTTCATATTTTGTGTTTGCAGTGTGTATTATTTCAGCAAAAGCTGATTATAGAAAAGGGAGAGAAAATCGCTTTCATTTCAGATAAACTATTAGTTTAGAGGAAATAAAGCCTTATGTTGAAAGTGTGTTGGATAATACCGTTTTGGCTAGGAAAAGTGCCTGTTACTTAAAAGAAATCTCACAAAACAGAAAATGCACTTAATTTAGCTTGAAAAATTGAACTAAGCCATTCAGTTTCATATTTGTGCTTTATTCACTGCAGCATGGCTGCACATGCTTTCTAAAGGGAACGCTGTGAAGGGATTAAAACTTTTTTTTTCTTGGTGAAAACATTTTTCTTTCTTATGTAACACAAATGGGGCATACAATTGTCAAGTCTCACTATTTTTCAGTCTTCTGCTCCTGTAACAAAAGCTTTAAAAATGGATAGCTCTTTTTTTTTTTTTTAAGAAGGCCTGAAATACACACCACGTATTTCTGAGAAGATGTCCCTTTTTTTTCTTTACAATTTCAGACATGGGACACAGAACTGGAGAGATCTGCAGAGTCATGGGCTGAAACTTGTCTATGGGAGCATGGGCCTGCAAGCCTTCTTCCATCCATCGGACAGAATTTGGGGGCACACTGGGGAAGGTAGTTTAAGACACTGTTTTCTTGTACATGTTTGGTTTATTTTAATTTAGCAAAATGTGCTTGTTACTTAAAGAAAGAATGATAGAAGCTACAATTTTGGCACCATCTAATAGAATACTACTGGCTTTCTTAGGTACAGACCTCCAACATTTCATGTCCAAGCATGGTATGATGAAGTGAGAGATTTCACTTATCCCTATCCTCATGAGTGCAACCCATATTGTCCTTACAAATGCTCTGGTCCTGTTTGTACGCATTACACACAGGTATGTGGAGGGGTTTGGTTTTTGTCTGCTGCGAAAAAGAAAGGTCTAGACCTCCAGTTAGGTTGTAGTATGACACGTAGAACGTACTAACCTTGCAGTATATACCATAGCACTAAAGCACAGAAGGAGCTTGTTGTTATTAGACTCTATAGCTACAAGCATTGGGTGTCGGTGTACAGAAGGGTTGTCACGCAAATCTTTAGATTTCATCATAAATATCACTTCCTTAACAGGAATAAATAAAATGCTCACAAACCCCAGTGTGAAACTGCTACTGCTCAGTGCACTTTGCATAATCTGGTCACTCTGCTGGTATGCTGGTAGTCCTTTCTCTGAGGTTTTCTTAGGTGAATTCCTCAGATCAAAAAACAATTTTTAACATGGTGCTCTGACATCAGCAAGATTTTGAAATTGCATAAGAACTAATGTATTTGATACTTCTAAAATCTGTGTATCTAGCCTGAATTTTTCCAGAGTTGAACCAGTCCTGATTTCAGTGAATAGGAAATACATGATTCTATGATTCTGTGATCCTCAGATTATATTAAAACCCATGTATAATTTTCAATATAATATTAGAAAATCTCAACATGATTAACTCTTAAACATTTGTTTTCTGTTTACTAGAACAACTTAAAATTGTATCTAATTTTAAGACAGAATTACCTTCATATTCTTATTTTCAATTTCTGTAAAAGTACATGTAATTACATTTATCCATTACACACAAGATCTATAATATGTATATATATATTTCTTTGTGGTACTAATTTGTCACAGTACCTATCGCTTTCAACTCCTAAATCCTGCTGGAACTACACAGTTGACTTATTTTGGGTTAATGCAAATTTAGTACCTGCCATATTTGTCTAATTTTCAGTTTAAAATCCATGACTTGAGTCTTTTCAGTGTAAAAGCGTTTTTTTTGAATAGTTTTATTGTTTATGTTGCCTCTTGTCACTGCTGACTTATCTGTTCTCTCAGTCTAAACCATCTAAACCCCTCTGGGTCCTTAGATTGTGCTAACTCCAGGGCACGGGCACCTAACTCATGATTATAATTCTAACAACTCATGATGGCAATTATTTGTAATTCCAAGAATCAGTTCTTCAGATCATGTATTTTGTAAATATTTTGCTAAATTTTCAAATACATGCTTAGACCATTTATAAAAAATGAGAGCCATATCTTTTGTGTCAAGGTATAAAGCTTTTCTTTCTACTAAGGTTATAACCAAATGGCCTTTTGACTGTTATAATTACGTCACTCCAACCCATTTGTAAGAGGGGAATATAACATCACTTTTGTTATTTGAATTTTGTATGTTGAAGTTTGGAGACAGTTTTGATTTTATGTTAATCACCTTTAGTTTTCATATGTCTTTCTCTTTGCTTTTCCGCAGGTTGTTTGGGCTACAAGTAGCAGAATCGGTTGTGCAATTAATTTATGTCATAACATGAACATCTGGGGGCAGATTTGGCCAAAAGCAGTCTATCTTGTGTGCAATTATTCTCCTAAGTAAGTAGAATGACACTGAAAAAATATCTTGAATGGGCAAGACACTTTGTAATAATACAGGAAATAATCTGAAAGGAAATTGATCTGGATTTTCTGTTTTTTATACTGTTACAAAGTAGAGCATTGTTCCCAAGGCAGCCTTTGGCTGCACAAACACTCTTGTGATTTTCTGGAGCTTCGGTTTTCTAGTCTGTATTTTAGCACAGAACATCAGAGATCTTTGTTATAGTGTGATACTTATTCTGAAAAATAAAAGTATCTCCCCATTGTGACTTTAAAGAATGTGGTTAAGATCAAATTCTGTAGGATATTCCATTAAGGAGAGTGAAACCTGTTCTCATGAGGAACTTAGTCTTACAGTGCTATGCCAATCTAAAAAATAGCTTACAGCAGCTTACAGCAGTACTTCATTTTTTTCTTCATGGACGTTTCAATTACTTCCTGTATATTTGGTATAGAATCACTTAGGTTGGAAAAGACTTTTAAGATCATGTAGTCCAACTGTTAATCAAGCACTGCCTGGTCCACCACTAAACCATGTCGCTAAGCACCACATCTATAAGTCTATTAAATACCCCCAGGAATGGTGACTCAGCCAATTCCCTGGGCCGCCTCTTCCAGTGCTTGACAACCCTTTTGCTGAATGAATTTTTTTCTAATATCCGATCTAAACCTCCCTTGGCACAATCTGAGGACATATCCTCTTGTCCTATTGCTCGTTACTTGGAAACAACACAATGTCATGGTCTAAGGGTCTGCTGCGTTTTCATCATTTATTTGACTGCATACTAAATGCTGCTTATTGTTAATATGTTAATTTATTAAGGCATGTTTTGCTAATTATTTTTATTTTTTGGTGTAAAGGGGTAACTGGTGGGGTCATGCTCCTTATAAACCTGGCCGCCCCTGTTCTGCATGTCCCCCTAGTTTTGGAGGAGGTTGCAGAGAAAATCTTTGTTACAGAGGTATGTGCTATTTCAAAAGTAAAACTATAAATGGGAAATGTAACCTTTCTTTTTCCTTCGTTCCTCATTATGAATGAGATTGTGTACTCATGATACATGAGGCCGAGGCTCACCAGAGGGAGTGGAGTGTACTGAACTCCTGCTGACTTAAGTGCTGATTGAGAGCTTTTAGTACACAAAGATGTAGATTGTCACTGTCTGCAATTTGTATGCCTTTCTGTAATTATAGTGGAAGTCCATGCACTCTTTTGTTTATAGAGGAATGTTATCTCAGTGACATAGCCATGTGCATTACTATAATAAAAATCAGGAGCAAGACTAGAAGTAATTAAACAAAATGCCAGCTAGGTTAATTATTAATTTCTTAAAATTTTCATAACTCTATTCATATTTTGCAACATTGAAACACAGCTAGTATTTCTTTTTGTTTTACAATGGGTGCAAGTAATTTAGCAATTTTTGTTAATAACTTTTGAAAGTCCGTGCGGACCATAAAGGCTGCATGAGTGTGCTCAAAAGCCTTCCTTATGGTTCTTACTTATGTAAGAAATGTAGATTCAGTGATGAGAATTTCAAAATTATTTTCGTTACGAATAAGTGGGGTCTTACTTTCAGATGTATGTTTTATGAAATCAGCTGTTTAATTACAAGTTATCTATGAACTTGGTAAAATTCTTCCAATGTGTGATTATCATCTTTGTTCTGGTGATCTTCTGGTGGCATGAAGGTATTAAACCAGCAGTTCTACGAGTATTTTCATACCTCAGTTGTGCTGCCTGTGCTAGAAAAAAATCTACCTTTTCTCAGTATCAGAAACGTGCTTGAGATGTATTATTAATCTCGAGGTCTTCATCTCATGAAGCAGTGGAAATTTTTCCTTGCTTTTTTGCTTGTATTCGTCTGGCATTTTAAAAGAACGAATCCATGTTACCAAAACATGGTGAGGGATTTACATCCCACAAACACTGATTTTTATTTTTTTTTACCTGAGATTTTTTTTTTTGCCTCTTTTCTGAAACAGAAGATTCAGAAAGGCCTTATTCTCCCCACGAACCAGAAGAGGAAACCAATGAGATTGAACGACAGAGATCCAAAGCCCAGGATGCAGCGACACAAAGCTGGCCCAGAGCTCATTCACCTTCAGGCTCCACAGGCACTGATGACAGTGAGAAAAATGAAGTAATAAGCACACAACAAATGTGTAAGCAATTTACCTGATTTGCAAGTGGTCAACAAATTTGATTTCTGTAGCATCAAATTCATTGCAGTGAAATTACTTTTTGCTTGTTTTAGCTCAGATTGTTTCATGTGAAGTAAGACTAAGAGATCAGTGCAAAGGAACAACTTGCAATAGGTATGGTAAATTTTACAGTTGTCCTTTTGAGATTATTCTATAAGGCTATATTTGTATGTGAGCTGAAATAGTTTTCCTTTTTGTAATCCCAGGTTTTAAGATCAAGTTGTGCTTTATTTTCTTAGGTATGAATGTCCTGCTGGCTGTTTGGATAGCAAAGCCAAAGTTATTGGAAGTGTACATTATGAAATGGTAAATATTTTTAAAGTAGATTTTGTACCAGTAGAATGTTAATGAAATTACTTTTCTTCTGGAATACTAGTTAAAATCATATTAAGAATGTATTTTGAAGAAACCAATATTCACCAAAACCAAAAGTCTACAGCAAATGTTTAAGATAACATCAAGTGATCTTAAGGTTGTATCTGCTATTCTGCATGTCCTGCCTGAATGTACTTCATACTTCTTATACATGCACACTAGTACATTTTTTTGTGTCCACATATTTGTGTGTAAATATGTGAAGGTGCAACTTAAGGAGAAATACAGCAGTTTGTGGATACACTTATAAAATGCTTCAGCAAGATAGACCTACTTCTGTAAGATTAAAGTTAGCTGAAAATATATAATTTACTCTGTAGAACTAGAAAAACAGCTACTGTGAACAACTGTACCATAAATGAAGTTTATCTCTGGGTAAAGCAGAGTGTTGTTTTATTTGTTTGCAATAATACCTACATAGGCCAATCAAGCTCAATAAACTATATACCAAGTTTTTAATGACACAGTGTAATTAAAATCCGTATTTTTCACAAATAAATTAGAATGTAACCAGTGATTTTGTCTGACATGAAACTGCTTTTTCTGCTCTGTTTTTCAGCAATCTAGTATTTGTAAAGCTGCCATACATTATGGCATCCTGGATAATGAAGGTGGTTGGGTTGATGTCACTAGGCAAGGAAGGAAAAATTATTTTATCAAGTCTTACAGAAATGGCATTCAGTCTATTGGGTAAGTTTTCTTAAAATATATGGAAAGTTTTTCATCTGTTTCTTTTCATTTCGTACCAAGTACATCACGGTAATAACATTTTGTTTGTATTTTTTTCATAAAGAGTATGAAAATACTAAAAAAGATCTGGGGATATACAGGTATTGTATCTATTCTGAAACTTTAGCTAATGTTTAAAGGTGGACAGAAAAGTGATGCAATGATGCAAAAGAACTTGAAAATTGCTTAGGCAGTAAGTTAGTATTTGTAGTTAAATAATCTCAATATTTGAAGTATTTATTCATTCGTGAGAGCATATATAGTTATAGAACACTAGTACTGGCACTGAAGTAAGTTGTTTTACGTGTTTTGGACAAAGCTGGCAATATTTACAGAGCTGGAAAATGTACACAGAAGTACCTGACAGCTAGCAAGGCAATAATCTTACAAGTCTGTGTTTGGAAGTGACTGTCTTGTACTGTGCCTATATGTTTGATGGTTTCATCACAATTCCAAAATTTACATATGTTTTTTTGTGCCAATATTTTGCACAATTTCTTCATTGGCCAATAATGAAATAATATTGCATACTGTGGGAGCCTCTTTTGGAAGTGTCCTGTACTGTTCAGGTCCTTGCTCTAAGACGGGTGTGTGAAAACAGATTGAAATACTTGCTGACGTGCTAAAAGAAAAATGAGAAAAACAGTGCATAAAAATGGAGAATACTTGGCGGTTTTCACATGGAATTATCTAATAAGAAAAGGTCAATATTAGTTTTTTTGAATCTAAGATACAAGCACTTGCAAATTACAGTTGAATACCTTAATGTATTCTGCAGAGCTGCACGTTGCTGTCCCTGTTTCTGTCTGTAATTGTTGTGTGTGTAATAGTAGTATGTGTGTAACAGGTAGTATAGGAGTAATAGCGAACTGAGAGAAAACAGGATTTTGCTGAGTGGTACATTTGGCTCAGGTGGCAATCCAAGGGTGAGGAGATAGGTAATCACTAGAGACTGCTCTCACTCTGTGCTGTGCAAACAAATCCCACATGCTGTGACACTTGTCATAAATTCTGTTTTCAACAAATTTACCTAATCCAGGAGAGAGAGAAACACTGACCAGGTAGGCTAAATTCAGTGGCCTCTAATTTGGACTACATGGGTAGCACTTAAGGTATTGATATCAATCCAATCCAATGATCTGACTATGGTTTAAGTTACGTCCACTAAAAAAGAAGTTCAGACAAATACGTCTCTTTTAAGTTCTTTGAGACAAAGAGAGAAGCAAATCTTGATTATATCAATAGTTACATATTAGGAGCCAGCTTACAAACGTAGAATTAGTTAAACTGTAGAAAAATCTTCAGACTAGAAGGAATTGATTTGTTGTCACTTAAAAACTCCATGTTTCTGTGCCATATGAGACAAAACTGTATGAGTGTGCAGTCTACAGAGAGTGTTCAGCACCTATCCTTGGATAATCAGAACTTGGAACAAGGTATTAATGCTAGATTTGGGTTACTCTGGGCATGGATAATTGTATCATTGCTGAACAGTAATGACCACTTTGGTTTTAGTTTTGTGATTCAGATATTGTAAAAAAAGTTTAAGTACCTTATAGTTAGAAGACTCTTAAAGGACCAGATCTATACCTTCCTATTCACAAGTGTATTTCAGACAACTTCTGCTGCTATGTGTGCACACAGATGACATAATTCTTCATTAATGTCCTATAATATTTAGGATGTCACCTTTTAGAGTGAATTTACAACATATTGTGATCAGGCACTAGCTTCATAAGTCAGTTTATAAATCATCATCTTTAGAGTACATAAAGATTATTTACCTAAAGTTTCAACCTTCAAAAGACTCATCAATAATGGTGGGGATACCTTGCAGCTACCTGACTCTCACCAGTGTCACTAGGTGGAACCTTGAGTAAACTACATAACTCTCCAATGAATAGTGGATCTCACCTGTAGTGCATGTTTACAGAATCACAGAATGTTAGGAATTGGAAGGGTCCTCAAAAGATCACCTAGTCCAACCCCACTGCAAAGCAGGATCATACAAAACAGAAAGACAGAAAAGGGAATGTCAGTGCAACATAGAGCAAACTTCCTAATCTTCAGCTTCTTTGATTTCTACTGAGGACTGCTAATACGGATGTTTTCTCCATTGTTAAATTTTCATAGTATAGGATACCATTTTTAACAATATCTGTTCCCACATCAGTGTTTGACAATGCTAGGGCAACAAAAGTAGGAGCTAACCTCGTGAAAGCAAACTGGAATCCATTAAATGAGCAAATGTGAAATTGGTGGCCCATACAACTAGGTAAACCAATGCAAGCAAACTGTCTCTGAATATAAATTGCAGTACTGTGGAGCACACAGGAGTAATTTGCACCAAAGGTGAACAGGGAATAATTTCCTTGGTTTTTTAAATAATAAATAACTTTATGGGTGCCAAAAGCATTGTCAGTTTCTTTGCTACCAATGAAAAATACCTGAATCAGAGGCATATCCAATGAGTTAAAAGAGGAGGAAAATAGGAGATAAGGAAGAGTAAAATAGAAATGTTCATCAATTGTAAAGTAACAACAGAATGTATGTACATTATTGTGGCTGCTACATTTTGAGGGACAAATAAATTGCCTAATTTGTTCCCAGCACACTTTTTCTCTTAGCAAATTAGTTTACTGAAAGAGCTTAACATGCATTCCTGATTTTTAAACAGATTCATTGGGAGCACGAGATAAGTGTGTCATTGCATTAAATAGATTTGTAATTGGGTAGAAGAGGTGCAGTGAGTAAAAATTGACTTAGGACAATGTCTTGAGTTTATTTCTACATTCTCTCATAAAAATTCTTCCAGCTAAAGAAATCACTGAGATGTGCTATTTACTGACTATTTATATCATTTCTTCTTCAGAAAATACCAGTCTGCTAACTCCTTCACTGTCTCTAAGGTAACAGGTTAGTATTTATTTCTTATAAATTCAGTACTACTTCTATGTTCTGTTTTTTCTAGACAGCACGCATTTATTTATATGTGTCTTATTTTCTTCAGTTCAAGCTATCACCTGTGAAACAACAGTGGAACAGCTGTGCCCATTTCAAAAACCAGCCTCACACTGTCCAAGGTAAAATACTTTAAATTTGATTACTTTAAAATTCTCCCACATTTTCTGTCAGTTATTAATTATCTGTAGTTGTCGTTGATAAAAGTGAAAACACTACCTGTAAAAGTTAAACCAAAAGTGTTTTACTGGTGTTTCAGTCTTTGGTTTAAGTAGAAGGCCAGGTAGGTAAAGATGACCTACAGGCTTTTTCATTACCAGAATCTCACTTTTTTTTTTTTTCCCCATAAAGATCTTCCTTTGATTCCTTAGCAAATCTTAGTGAAATTATTGTTGGTTAGACTAAAGACTGTGAATTAAAATTTTTCTTTATTGTCCAGTATTATCTCCATGCACCTTGGGGAAAATACAGTTAATTTCATTTTATTTGGCTGTAAGCCATATACAATAAAATGATATGATGCAGATATTTACCGTAGAAGTTATCAGCTTATTTGGGAGTTTTGGAGGACAGTGAACAAACATATTTGCAAAAAAATCTAAACATATAGGCTTAAGGTAAGGTGTGATCTGCAGGTCAGTTAACAGCTTTAAATATATGTGCCGTTTCTTTGAAGCCTACATTTTAACTCTTCGAAAGCAGCCTGTGCCACAATGTTTTGAGGAAGGAAATGAGTAGCAGTTCTCAAAACCATAGATGAGTCAAAGGTAAATACACTGTAGCATGATTTACCACAAGCTAAGCTGGAGGTATCCACAGAATTACTTTCACAGCAATCCTACAGCCAGTACAGGAAGCAAGTACAAAGTCAAAACTGCTAGGAAAACATCCCTTCATGTAGCACTTGGGTCTGTGGACTTGTTTCGTGTTTGGCTATGACTCCTGGCTTTCTAGCTGAAAGATGTGGAGAAGTAAGCGAAGGGGTGGAGTGCAGGAATGGATGGGTACAATCTCATACTTATGTCTTTTTCTTTTTTTCCTTCATTATTAAAAATAAAACTAGCTTCATTCAGGGAAAAGTAGTGTCTGTCTTTGAGAAAATTTAAAAACGACCAATTAATTCTGATGCATCAACTTAAGGAACTTCACAAAGGAAGTGATTCATTCAAGATTCTGTGCATGCTCTTAATTCTGAAAATTCTGAAATTCTTAATTCTGAAAAGGTAGTTTCAGGTGGTACAAGCAGAAATCAGCTATGATGATGATTGTACTACTTCATTTTCCCCTCTCATGCACCAATCATAAACCAGCAGGTCTTCAAAAGACCTCTTTGACATCTTGCTTCCGTCAGACAAAAATCTCTTTCCTACCTACATCAGCCTGTTTGAGTTACCCATCTGGGAAGACTGTAGCATGCCCAAGTGGTGTGACATGCCAAATATCCATTGGAGCGTGGAGAGCATCCCAGAGAAGAATGCTTTCTGAGGGCTGCCCTGTGTAGGGTGACTTCAAAGTCATAGGGGCATGACCCATTTTTCAAATGAAACAAGTCAGAATAGACCTAAAACTGACACTTCCTGCTTGTAACATATAGCAGTTACCAAATAAGATGCTTGACACTTTCTATAGCTTCCCATGTGGTTTTCATGTGCTTTTTGGAGCTATAGTAGGCATGAATCACAGGGAGAATTTTTCTCAAAGGTTAACAAAATGCAGTTGAATAAAACAGTCTTTGTTTCAGTAGCTTTCTGATCTCCTAGAATGAGCTAGGAATCTCATTACTTGCCAGATTTTTTCATTTTAGCTCCAGATGCCAAATGCTTGCCCTCATTAAAAGTTGCTAAATTGACAGCTCCTCATGGCAGCTCCTCATTCAGATCTGCCTCTCCTGAGAAGGTTTTGAGCTGTACAGCTTGTATAGGGTGATGTAGGAACGGATAATAAAGAGTGAGCAGTGTTTTGTCTCACTGGCTTTCTACTGGCCTCACATATACTGAACAAGAACACTGTCACCTTATACAAAGGGAAGAATACCAGACCTGCTGATGTATGTTTTCAAGCACTTTATTATGAACCAGAACTTACATCAGCAATGCTTTCACTCATTTTGTCAAAGCCTCAGAAACTGACAGCCTTTTAGTATCGCTATGGCCCCATACATATGCATCCTCATTCATTTCTGCTCGGTAATGCTGATGTTGAATGTGGTATAGTAATACTCTGATATCATTCTTCCCAACTGTGTGTGTGGTTTATTTTTGATATTTCAGGGTGTATTGTCCTCGCAACTGTATGCAGGCAAATCCACACTACGCTCGTGTAATTGGAACACGAATTTATTCTGATGTAAGTATAGTGATTTGCATTGCATTATATAATGGAATATAAAATCTCATGAAAAACTGTAATGTAAAGATTTCAAGGTATAATATAGATACCCAGTTTTCCTCCATATGCTGATATTTTACACAGTCGTTTCAAAAGTTCTTTTTCAGATGCTTCCATTTAAGTTAATAGTACTCAACCAAAAACTAAGTGTAGACTTCCGTAGTCTCTGAACCCAGATTTTCAATTTTTTTTCAGAATTCCCACTGATTTGTTTAGTGCTGGCACTGTATGCTCATTTAAACCCTTGTTCTTTAGAACGTGATGCAACCATAACATCTGCCAGCAGAAAGAAACAAAGAAACAAAAAACCCTGTTCTGAAAATAAATGTCCACAGTCTCATTATTTTGGATATTTCTTATTTGTGTAGATAGCTAAATATTTGTAGCAGGATTTTGATGTATTAGTGTAGATTAATCATTGTTATATATTTTAACCGACTAATATTGTAGGAGGTTTTTTTGGTGGTTCTGTTTCCCAGTCAGTTTTGTTTCCTGTCATGTTTGGTTCTGAAATAGGCTGAAAGAAGGAAAAGACAGTTCTTTATTATGCCCTTCCTTCATCCCTCTATGGAGAAGCCAGCATGTAGTTACAGAGAGAACAGTTCATGTTTTTGCCAGGAAACTGTTGTAACTGTTTTAGCTGTCATAAAGAATAGTATGGCAACCAACTGGGTCAGATTATTATTTTCACTACTTTCCCGCACTTTGAAATGTGTGAAAACAATATGCAAGTATTTATTCATTATTGTTTTGAAACTAACTAATTGTCCAATAGATTACCTGATTATCCTGAAAACACTCTTGTCCGTAAGCAGTGTTATATGTGCGAGAAGTACTTCCAGTTCAGAAAGAAAATTGATTTGTCCATGTGGAACTGTGTCCTTAATGTGTGTAAGAGGGGCAGTGCAAATAGATATCAATGGAAGTCCCTTGTGTGGCAGACAGCTTTCTCTCAGCTCTGCGGTTGTAATCACAGGTCGCAGCCACGGTTTCCCATTGAGTTAGAAAAGACTTTGTTGTAGGAGAAAGAAGACCCGTTTCTCTTAAACTTACCTGGGTGAACATCTTAGAATATGTGTTTGCTTTGGCTCGAGAAATCCCTGGTGACTTTAATCAGTTTTATAGAATTATGCTTTAAAATTATTTTAGATATCCTATCTCATTATTCATCTCCGTTGTATAGAAATGTGTGCAGCCATACTGCTTTTAGGAAAAAAAGGACGTAAATACAGGTAAGAAACCAGAGATGCGAGCCTTGTTAGCAGCTTCAGATGCTGTCAGGGTACATCTCTACACTGGAGGTGGTATTCTAGGTTATGTTTGTAGTAGTTTGTTGTACATACAGCATAGTGGTAAAGGAGATAAACAGGCATCTGTAGAGCAGAATTCCTTTGACCTTTTCAGAGGGTCTACCTCAGTATAAGATTAATTGCCTGATAGAGATGTCTGTTCCTCTCCATTTCATGCAGAAGGGTCCATGGGCATCTGGCTCAGATATAGACAGATGTGTCCTACCTCTATTTGTACAAATGTTCCCATTGATGATATCAGCATTATGTGATATATTACAATGTTCCTTTTTGTTAACATTTAAATTAAAACTAAGATGCTTTCAACTGAAAATTTCACTTATTTTCACTTATTGAGATTTCTATGCATTATCATATACTACTGAACTAGTTTCAGGTCAAGTATTTATAGAGAATATTCAATATATGTGTCTTCTTTTGCAGTTTTTCATGTATTTACAAACATGTTTGTTCATAGATACAGATAATTCATTTCCCACTTGTCATAGCAAATGTATTTGAAATTTCAGTCTATGATCTACTTGGTTGATTGCGCAAAACAGATGGCTTTTTTCCTGGAAGTTCTTTAGTTTCAGAAATGCATATATATGTAGGTATGTGGATGTATGCATATATGTACATGACTATTTATTTACACTACTGCTCAGGCCATTTGCATTCAGTAAATGAAGATTTTGAAGAGATATTAAGAAAAAAAAAGCAAGTAACATAAATAGATGTCACTAATTAAAAAATGTTGACAAAACCATTTTTTGTAATATTCATGAGAATCTAATTAAACTTTTTTTTCTGGCTTTGGTCTGATCAGACGTTCATTCTTAAATCTTCATATTTTATCGTGGCTTCTTTTATTCCCTGTTCATAAAAAGGTCTGTCCTCTGCTTTATCAGTAATGCCCTTGTCCTCGTTTGAGCTGAACAGAGCCAATTCTATTCAGTAATTTTACCTTTCGTCTCAATCTCTTCCAGACTCTTCCAGAGTCTTACTTCTTGAATCTCAGAATCATGCCGTGTTGGCATGCATTTTAACAATATCTGTATTTTTAAAGCACTTTTCAATATGACCTCATTTGTAAAATAAAATAAAACCTTTCCAAAAGCTTAATCATGTCAGGGCCAATATGATTGTCTGAACTCTGCTGGAGATGATCTTGCAGCATCTACCTGTGCAGGGATTGTCCTGTGTTGTGGCTGTTAGTCCTTGTATTATCAAGATATCAAAATAAGAAACCTTTTCTTAGAGAGGAGAGGTTACAATAGTTCAGCTGAAAGTTCTTTCACTTGCAGATTTTTTTGTAAAATTTTACTTTAATGGACACAGATTTGTATATGGTAGAAGTTCTTAACCACATTCCAGTTGCCTTATAAGAATTTCTAAAGGTTTATATTTATGCTGTTATTTTCACAGTAGGCAACATTTTCCCCAAACCAATATCTTACTAGTAGTGACTCTACGTTATGGATGCTGACTGAGCAATTCTGTAAAAAAATGAACCTCTATTTGGGAGCTAGAGATCAACAAAGATCTTTTATGTAAAGAATTACATGGAGTTGTATTATTTCATATTATCTGAGGACTTCGACTGTATTAATTTTTGTTTCAGTAACCATATATGGAAATGTTTCTCTAATACTTGTCCAAAAGCTGCTGTGGTAAAATATGAACAATATGATGTAAGAAAGCTATTAAATAGTTCTATAGTCTTGTGATGGTGAGGGAGAGATGCTTGTGATTAAAAAGCCTTGCAGAGTACTGCTATGCTGTGATAGATGTTTGGTATTTTGCTGAGTGGTGGAAGAAGGAAAATAATTAAGTAGGTTGGTATTCAGATTCTGTGACCTGTTAAATGCTAATGAATTTCAGAGGGTTCACAGCACAGGAATAAAGCAGGATCACATAATGCTGAATGAAATATTTATGTTTACTTAAAAAGGTTGCCTTATATGTCTTTTGCAGGGAGTTCATCAAAATTAAAGAAACACAACCAAATCTCTGATGTAGACTTCCAGAAAGTGGCATGTCTACTAATGTACAATACCAGTAATATGCTGAAATTTGTGATAGACCTATGTGTGAAATCCTCTTCTGGTTAAACTAACAAGAGGTTCACCTTAAGGTTCAAGGAAGTGGCTTGAGGACAACATAATGTTTTTAAGTGTAGCAAATATTATGGCATTAGTAATAGAATTTGATTCTATTTAGATGACAATTACCAAGCCAATGCGAAGTTCTTGAAAACTGAAAGTAGATAATACTTTCTCAAAAAAATATTTCTGTGTATATTGATAAAACTATATGCATTTATTCATCTCTGTTCTTTCAAGCTAGTTCCTAATTATGAATTTATATGCATTTAACCGTTCCTGTAGTCAAAAGTATGCACATTTGTTCTCCAGTCTCATCTGAAAAGCAGCATTAGAATATCAGCTTATTATTCATCTGACAATAGCCTCTTAGTTGGCCTCATCAACCCCATTCTTCTGACCTCTCCTTTTTCAAATATCTGGTGTAAGGATCTTGCCTTTGGCTTTAGAATGCTGTGCATTAACATAGCCATATTTCATTGATCCAGTAATGGATTGTGGTACCAACCCTAACAATGACTCCATCCTTTACTGGAAATAGCTTCCAACAAGTAGTCAGCATCTTCTGTCAAAGTCTCCATCCCTTGATTTTTGCTTTCTTTTTTACTTCACTAGAAATTTCCAAATAACGTTGGAACAGCCAGTATCTTAGCTACCCTCAAATGCAATTATGCTGTTATCTACCTATCTAATGACATCCACAAATTGTAGCCTTTCGGTTATTATTACAGAGGTGATAAACTTTGATCTTTCTTTTCTCCAGTTGTACTTCTAGCTTTTTTTATATCTCCAATGTGAATGGAAAATAAAGTTGCTACTGTTTTATAGTACTAGTAATTAATAATGTTCTTCTAGTTCTTCTCTGTAGTTAATTGCTCATAAACCTCATCTTTTGTTTCTTTATACTGTAATCCTGTATTGCAGAGGCCATTTTTCCCCCTGTATATTTGAAATTACACATGATTAGTCTGATCTTTAGTTACTCCCATAGTATGAATACATAAATGATGCTATAATCCTCAAAATAATGCGGTGTTCAGGATAAAATGAAAGTCTTACAGCCTTGGGAGTATGAGAAAAAGTGCAGAGGAGCATCCTGGGCATCCGTTCTGTCATGTTTAAAAACTGCAGCCAGCGATGTAAAGAGAAAAACTCTAAAGTGTCTTTGCAAAAGATTCTTTGCATAGACAATTTCAAATATTCATTCCTAGAAATATTGTAATATTAAAAGACAAACCATATAACAGTTAAACTGGCAAGTTCTGTGCTTGGAATAAGAGTAGGAATATTGCTATTCCTAATTTTATATAGCATTGAGATTACAAAATAGCTATGGTAACAGATATAAAATATTCCAATTATAACTGAAAGAAATGGAGTTCTTGTTCAAGTAGTGGTCTCTATGACCAGATATTCATATTTATATTGACTAAGATTTTAAGGCTAGTTGGGAAGAGACCTATTGCAGTGAAGACTTTTTCCACAGAATAACTTGGCTTTAACTGGAGATACTCTGTAACTGGAACTGTGCTTTGAAGATTGGGACCTACATTCTAGAGTTTCTAAGAAGTTTCCTTCTTCTTGCGATTAATTTTTAAAATCCCAAAAGAGTATTGGAGGACTGCAAGATAACATTATCTGAGTTGTCATTGAGCAATACTTCCATGGATGTTATTTATTCTACATAGGTTTGTGAGAGGAATTAGTGGCCAAAAAATGAAGTTTCACTCAGGTGAAAGTGCTGTTAACGTCACTGAGAATTTTCACGGTGTCATAGAATGCCAGGTTGGAAAGAACCTCAAGGATCATCTGATCCAACCTTTCTTGACAAAAGCACGGTCTAGACAAGGTGGCCCAGCCCCCAGTCCAGCTGAATATTAGAAGTGTTCAATGTTGAGGAATCTACTGCTTACCTGGGGAGATTATGCCAGTAGTTGATCTCATTGTGTAAAATTTGTGTCCAATTATAATCTCCTCAGGAGTAACTTGTACCCATTACCCCTTGTCTTCTCTGTGTGACTCCTTGAAAAAGGGACCCTCCATCTTCTTTGTAGAGACAGTTTAAACACTGGAATGTGATGATAAGGTCTCACCTAAGCCTTTTTTCTCTCAGCCTTTTCTCATGTGGCAGACTTTGCAGTCCTTTGATTGGCTTTGTGGCCCTTCGCTAGATGCTCTTCAGCCTGTCCAGATCTTTTTTGTATGGCTGGAACTGAACACACTATTCCACGTGTGGCCTCACAAGTGCTGAATAGAGTGGGATAATGACTTCTTTATCTCTGCTGGTGATGCCCTTGTTGAAGCAATTTAGCAGCATGTTGTCTTTCTTTGCTGCAGCAGCACAATGTTTGTTCAGTATCATGCTTGTTCACTAGGACACCCAGGTCCCTTGCCACAGAACTGCTCGCCAGCTCGCTAGATCCCAGTTTGTGCTGCCCTCTTGGATTATGTTTTCCCAGGTGCAAGATCTTATGCTTTTTGAACTTCATCCAATTCTTGTTAGCCCACTCATGCAGCTTCCTGGTCTTCCTGCAAAGTGGCTCTCCCTTCTGAAGTGTCAACTTCCCTGTTAGTTTGTTATCATTGGCAAACTTTATCAGGGTATACTTGATTCCATCATCTAAATCACTCATGAAGATGTTAAACAGCATTGTTGGCCCAATATCCGTTCCTGACGAACCCTACGTGTGGCAGGTTGCTGCTCTAAAAAAGGAGCTCTTTGCCACCACCCTCCTGGTATGACCTGTCAGCCCATTCTCCACCCACATCACATGCTTCCTTTGACTTGTGACAGCCCCCTGGAGAGTTTGTTCAATAATTTTCCCAGGGGCTCAAGTAAGACTGATGGGCCTGTAATTTCCTGATCCTTTAAGCCCATCTTGTATATGGAGGTGGCATTAGCCTTCTTCCAGGCTTCCGGGATATCCCTCGATCTCCACGACTTCTCAAAGATGATGGAGAGCAGGTGTCAGCCAGATCTCTTAACACCTTCAGGCATATATTATCAGGTCCCATCGATTTGTAGGGATCAATCTTCTGCAGTAGTTCACATACTAGGTCTTCCTTAACCAACGGTGGGTCTGTGTTTTCATCAGTCTGGATTTTTCATCAGGCCTGGGGCCCAACAATGCTACATAATTTTGCTTGCATAAAGTTTATGGAAGTAGAAACTGATATAAAAATTCTTCTTTTGAAGCAGTTGGAGAGTCTTCACCTCCTGACTCTTATTTCCTTACTCAGAATTAAGGAGGTAAAGCCATTAGTCTGTCATTAATCAACTCTCATAGCTAAGGAATTATTTTAGACCTCTATCTTCTGTCTGATGCTCACATTATACCTTTATTTTTATTAGCTTTTAGTATTTGTCCATGTCCGGATTGGAAATTGTGATATTCCCTTTGGATATGGATCACTTTGCTGTTGTTTGAAGTTTTGGACCTAGAGATGGAATCATTGCACTCTGTCCCTTACCATTGGGGTAGGACATTGTCCTTGAAACATATGACTGCAATCAGCCTTTGCTGTTCTACAGTCACAGAATCACAGAATTGTTGAGGCTGGAAAAGACCTCTGGGATCATCAAATCCAGTCTGTGACTCAACACCTTTCACACTGGCTAGACCACGGCACTAAGTGCCAAATCTAGCCTTTCCTTAAAGACCTCAGAATTGTTGAGGTCATGTTTGACTGTAGATGGAGATTAAACTGAATCTCCTGGTCTATAATAGTTGAATAAAGTTCAAGCTGTACTTTTTCTCTGCTGTTGAAGTGAAGGCTGATTGAACCTTTCATTTTGAAAGACTCAAAACTTCAAACATATTAGTGATCTTTGAACGGAAATAGCCCAAAATAAATTATTTTGGTGTCATGCTGCAGGAGATCTTTGAAGAGGTAACGTCTGTATTCCTATAAACTGGCCTAATTCCTATGAAAAATATTTAAATATTGTAAGATTAATAAAATCAGTCATGCAATAAATATATTTATTTTATGTTTCCTAGAACTTGGTTTAAATGTTTTTATTAGTTTTTTTTCTAAACAATTTTGAAATAAAAAGATGAATGAACACTAATCTTCTCCTCGTTCTTTCTTAGATATCCAGTATCTGCCGGGCAGCAGTACATGCTGGTGTAGTCCGCAACCAGGGTGGTTATGTTGATGTTATGCCGGTTGACAAAAGAAAGGTGTACATTGCTTCCTTTCAAAATGGGATATATTCAGAAAGGTACAGAGCCTAGTTTCAAAGATTTTACTTTACCCTTCACCTCGATAAGATTTACAAAGTCTTGCATTATGTCTGTTTGTACCTGGGGCAATGCTAGAAACCAACAACTAGGCCAACTTGGGTGATTTACAGAGCTTGTGTAACAGCTGTGGTGACTTGGGTGAAGCTGTGGTACCAGAGCTGCCTGCCTCCTCTAAGCTCATAAATCATTACTTTAAAAAGCTGCTTATGAAATAAAATAACCCTCTTGTTTACTTTGCTGATTCTATTGCATCTAGCACAATATTTGATAAGAAAATTACCTTTACTTTCTTTGGGATTTTTTAAAATTAACATTAATGATTTATACTGTCCAAGTTAGAGGATATACAGTAGGGTACTACTAGCTGATGCAAGTTCATTGGTTCATGATGAAATGTTCTTTACTGATTTACTTGGCATTGAACCAAGAAGCCTAGATAATAAATAATACTCACAAACATTAATAATCACAATCATTAAAACGTTATTTTAATAGTTTGACTTTTTTTAATAGCGTTTTTCTGAAAGATGTGGAGATGCTGTGAATTCTGTAATTCAGAGTATTCATGCATTCTGTGATGATAACACATGGCTGCATGTTGCAGATTAAATTTAATCCCTGAAAAAGTTCTTCGAGTTCCAAGGAAGACAGAGAATTTGTCTTAAAAAAACCCTAAAGCTAAGAATGATGGCTACCTCTAAAACTATAGGTTTTCCAAGAAATTTGTGGGAGAAAATACCTCCAGAAGTTTCTGTAGAGAACTTGGAAGTAAGAAAAGAGTATTTTATTTAATTGTAGGTGGGAGAATGTCTTGACTTTTCCCCTCAAACCTTTCAACAACTCTGGAAACTTGTAAAATACAGATTTCCTTTGCTTGGTGGATGACTTCATGACATATTCTTTAGCCTTTTCCCATGACCATCCAATTGCCTCGAAAAGAGCGCTATCTTACTGACACTTTTGTTCTCCATGCAAATCTCCTCACTGAGTAGAGATGTAGCCAAGAAAAATGTTGCAAATTTAATCATTATTTGTGCTTTGCTGTCTTGGTAAAGTTTGGAGGGTTAGCAGTTTGGAAAAAAGTACCATACAAGTTTTATGTGAAGCAGAATATGATGGATTGTAATGCCATTTCAGGCAACCTGTTTCATTGTGCCCTTCCTTACTTTCAACCCTGCTTCCCTTTCCTTCCCAGATATGCCTCAGACAAGATTTGCAAAAGGGAAAACAATGGGACCATTAAATATGACATGATAGTTCAGTTTATAAGGCAAAAATATTTATCCTAACAAAATTTCATTGCAGTTGGGTGCTTTTTTTTCATTTCTTTTGAAAACAGATATTTATCCATTCAGAAGGCATTTCCTTTGTTTTTGTAAAATATTCTGTTTAGAAATCTATTCTTCAGCGTATAAGCAACTAACAAACGAGTGATCTCTTAGATCTGCAAGTTCTCTCTGACTATAGTTATTAGAATACAGAGCAAAGATGCATGCTTTCTCTTTTTCCTATAAACTTATGTTAGTATTTTGCTTCAACAGAGCTTTATTCTTTAAACCAGAATCCCTCATCACAAAGAGTTACTTGAAATTTTTTGTGTTATGATTTTTACCTAGTAAGCTCTTGGAAGAAAAATTAATCTGAAATTTATGTAATTTTTATTCGTAACAGTTTAAAAAGAAAATCTTAGGTAGCTGAAGTTATGAGTAGTCACAGGAAGAGTCGTAGGATCCTAGAACTGTATTTAACAATTCAAGAAAGTTGTCACTGGAGTGTTGCAGTCTTAAAAATAACGTCAGGAATATTTTTATGTTTCAGTTTACAGAATCCTCCAGGAAGCAAGGCATTCAGAGTATTTGCTGTGGTTTGAATCTAGCAAGTAAAGTGTAAAACAGGCGAATGAAACCAGAGCGCTTGGAAGAGAATAATGAAGGTCATTTCTTTTAATTCCTAAAATTTGTATAAAGCTGTAACATTATTGTACAGAAGATGTATACTGCTTTCCACCAAAAAGTTGAAATTACATATATATCTTAATGAAAAAAATCTTTAAAAGTAAACATGGGAGAAAAATTCATGTGAAAATCTATGATGATATATGACAATATTTTGATTCCTGTGTTAAATATTGCTATATTTTCTTAGCAGTTACTCCTAATACAGTTGATTCAAAGCTCATTGTTCTTTGTTTTCTTCATCTGAATATATTATTGTATGGTGCTTTATATATGCCACTAACAGTAACCTTAAAACTATACCATAGAGAGGCCTGAGTTTTTATTTCCAATATACATGAAAGAAGCCATCCCAATGAGTCGATATAATAAATCATGCCATAAAATAAAATATATATATAACTTTTTGTTGATTTACAGTAACATTAGCCATGCAAGCATAAATGAAGATCTAGACTGTTTTCAATTTCACACTAATAGCAAGTACAAATACCTATTTTAAAATAAAATGGAAAATATAAAATACAGGGAAGTCCTGGGTTATATTAGCATGTTTTCCTCTAACGAAATGCTTCTAAGAAACTGGGCCATTCATGTTTAGTATTTCTTAAAAGTCTTAATAAAATGTTTATTGGATGCTGCTAAGCTCTTTAGTTTGAATAACCGATTCATTATGGTGCGGTCCTTCACAGATATTCAGCTATCTTGGGATGGGTGAGTGAGAGATAGACATGTATAACCTTGAAGGATCTGTGAAAATTTTCATATTGAGGAGTAAGCTGAAATCAAGGAATAAGCCATCATTTCTTCAAAGCAGTTCTGCACATACACATGCTATATTTTTGCTATGTGACTCCTTCAATTTACCTAAATTAGGTCTCAGCAAAAACATAGAATTGTACACATACATAAAAATTTCCAAACTTGAGGCCTTAAGCTGTACATGGTATCCGTATGCTATACATTAATATGAGGGTAAATGTTCAAAAAACGCTTAAAGAAAATGGTCACAAAGGCTAGCCTTGCTCCTCATGACCTGGCAAATACTCCTGCAGGCCAGGAAGTATAGTGGTACGGAGCCCAGTGACAATATGTCATTTGTTCCTTCACCATTTTCAGAAACTCCTTTGCGGTGAACAGCCTTGTGCATTAATTTTACCATATTATGGTATATGAAGAACGTGTAGTGGTGATACTATGTTTCTTTCTATGAAAAGTGTATTGGTGCTTTAAGACTGAAAAGCTGTTAAACTTTATTTTTGGTTTATTTTGTTTCTGTTGTTGCATTTATTTCCTTTCGACTTGTAAACTTATTTGTATTCTTCATATTTCGGAATACTATGTTCTGCCTTCTGTTTTGCTACATGTACTACCTCATGTAGTTAGGCAAGCTTTGTTAGGTTTTTTAATCTGTTCTGAATAAAATTAATTTACATAGTAAGAGTACCTTTGGCGGCCTTTATTTTTTAATTATTTGTCCTCCCTCAAGAAGAAAAAAGTAACAGCAGTCCAAATTTTTTTTTCCTGACCTAAACATTGCAGCTGTAGGACCAAGCAGTAAATGTAGTCTGAGGTTCTAAAAGCTGTAAAGGCAATTTAGGCACACAACTTGCATTAATTTTGCATTGTGAGTTCTATGTATAAATCTTCTGGTCATTTATTCAAGTTCTGACCAGTGTTTTCAGGAACAGATTACTACCTCATTTTAATGGGGAACTCTGTGTCAGGAAGTGATTATAAAAAAATGCTATCACCTTTTATACAGTCTGACACTTTGCTGTTGTGGTAAATGCTTTCTAGTGAGAATGTTTCTGGCTCCATGTGTTGGGAACAAGCAGGTTTTCATATTACACATTCTTTTTTTGCCTCGTAAGACTAATGGCCAGCTTGGGAGTTCCATTTGGTAAACCTATTTAATTGACAAGGAACACAAAGAGTCTTTGATGTGTAACTCCTCTTTTTGCAGGTGATGGCAGGAGGCCATTGAAAGAAGCTCTATATAGATTTTGCACTACTGGCATTAACCATTTTTCAGAACTGAAACCAAAGTGCAAGTAGACTTTGTGATGGGACACCCAAGTCACTCAAAGGCTTGAGATAGACATACACCTTTCCTTAAAAGCACCAGCTGCGGTTATCAGAACATAAGAGCAAGGCCACTTGTGAAGTTCAGGATGTGCAGTGTTGCTGCGGGAGACATCTGAAACAAAGCAGTGTGAATGCAACCGTAGCGGCCCTTTCCACACAGCTGGGATGATTTCCTGCAGCCTGGCCCTGCCTTGTAGCAGCTCTCCATGTCCCCTGCCTTGCCCCTGGTCCCCAGCAGTTGCCTCAGGAACCCATGGGAAAGAAGACTGTGGGGTGCTGAGGCAGTTGGGCAGTGAGCTGCCTCCCTGCTCTGCTGACCCAGGAGAATCATAGAATCATAGAATGGCATAGGCTGGAAGGGACCTTAGATATCGTCTAGTCCAAACTCCCTGTCATGGGCAGGGATGCCACCTCTCGACTAGACCAGGCAACATATGGGGACCGAGCAGGAAGGGTGCACCCTTTCTTTTTGGCAATGCAGAGCCTGAGGTGAAGGAAGGAACAAGACAGTCGCACTTTCGGTCATACCCACAGCTTCCTCACTTGGAGTAGATGGGTGACTGGAGTCCCATGTGGAAACACAGTTGCTACACCAAATTTCTGCCTTCTTCCTCCATTTGTTTCTGACGTCTTTTTGTTCTTTTGCATATCTTTGCTTCCTCTCTACTCTCATCTGTAAAGTCCAACCTACACTTACTGGGTGGACCTCTGATGCCACAATGACAAAGTTAGTTCTTGGTGGGAGGAGTCGGGGCTACCTTCAACGTCCATGGATGATTGCTGAGAGCAGCTCCACTGACCAACACAGTGACATGGAGAAAGAGAGGTGAGTAACTTTTTTCCTCACATCTGCAGTTGCACAAATTTTGGAGTCCTTTTGCTTTTCCACATGCAATGATTCTATCCTGTTATAAATATTCCAATGAACATCAGCTTTCTGAGAAATTCTCTTCTGTATTTACTGTAAGCAATGAGTCAATGAGTAGACATTTCCAAGCAGTTGTAGAAATTTCCAAGCAGTTGTAGACTGGGAACTGCACATTGGTATTTCTGTCTGCACCAGAAACAACTGTATGCCAGGTGGTCACAACTAATTCACAGAAAGGCCAAATGAGTAACTAGCAGTATCAGAAAACTTGTAGCCTAATGAAAAAAATGTCAAAGAAAGTCAACTTTTAAATGTTGAAGAATTATTTGGTTAACAGAGCAGTTACAAAATTATTTTCTCAACTTGAAATAACAAAAAGGGATAAAAAATAACAAAGTAAAGCTTAATTTGTGCTTGCATCCAAGGAAGGACTTATAAGTAGCCCACAAGAATTATTAAAACCGTTAGATAACAATCTCTTAAAAAATGGAAGCTATTTTAGTATGTTAATGTCTGCCATTTATAATTATAATTATATGGTAGCTATATGAGGATACTTTACTTTTAGGGAACTTGGGGCCCATACTTATATCAGCAGACAGTTCATAGTACTAGCTGGACATAAACTAAGGAAACTAAGAATCATTTCCTAAACTTCATGGATACTGAGGAATTTTAGAGATTTGACAGACTTCCTCGTGTCCAGTTTCTGCATAGGGGACAGTCTGATCTTGAAATTATACATGAAGTATTTTTTGGAACCAAGCCTGAAACACAGGTTGGTAATAACATCTGTAAGTTTACAGGGTTTCAGCTGATGAAGTACTCAGTTTCAAGTTTTATGTAAATGTCAGACTGTCAGCCATCTGTGGATTCTCAGTGGATTTAAAAGAAGAAAAGTAGCATCAGCTTTTTTGTGTGCATTGATACACACACTCAGAAAAATGCACAGCACTTCATATGGCAGAGATGTAACCGAGTTACTCACATAAACAGTGTCTTCTAAGTGGCATTTGCTTTTGAAGTATATTTTGAATTTGGCTTAAAACTCAGATAACTCAGCTTCCTGTGAATACACAAGAGAAGGTTTATTTCCTGCATAAGTAGTCTTACAAAGAGTCGGGTTTAGAAATGTAAATATTTGGAAATTACAAAAATTATTCATACAGTGCAATATTCAGTTCAGAAATTTATAAAAATACTATATGAAGTGCTGTACTGTCACACTTCTATGTCTTACACTTTTTATAGCATCTGTGGAACTCTAGGGAATTATACAAGGAACAAAAAGCCTGAAGAGTTTTGTTTCATTCAGTGTATAATATGCATCTTACTGAGCTTTAGATATACAAATGATAGCATACTTTAGTATTCAGAAAATTGCATATAATTTTATAAAAACATACATTGTGCATATGGAAAAAGAAGCCATGCTGTCAGTCTTAGCTTTATCCTGTGTTTGCTGTCTGATATAAATGATGGAAGTAGTATTTTTATGGTATTAATACTGCTATTAAATAAGTCCTTGTCTTGTACTAGAGGGCTGTGGAAATACAATAAAATCTGATTCCTGCTTCATGGTAACGTGGGATGATAATGTGACACCTGAAATTTACCATCAGCTGCTCTGTGTTAAATGCCGTGTTCATCTTAGCCTGTTTGCCAGACAAGAGATGCCTACATCATTAAACCGTCAGTACTTTGCAAAAAGTACTAATAATTATCTTTAAATTTTCAGAAACTAAAAAAGCTCCCTAGTCAGACCACCTCAATATAATATGGCTCAGGAAAATACGAGAGATGAAGAGTGGAAAGTAAAGAACATGCAACCGAAACAGCAAGTCATGATGCTCCATGTCTTACTGTCCACATTGGCTTCTGTGATAGTTATCCTAGTTATTCAATTCTGTATATGCCCCCAGTGCTGAATCCAATATTGGGTTTGTCTTTACTAACAAAGGGGTGAGGTCTGAAGCTAGCAGCAAAGTTGTTGGTTAAGAGCTGAGATACACTCACCAAACAGCATGAATAACTGCAATACTATATCTTTCAATAGGCACACAAAAGACTTAAGTTGCCAAAGGCAATAACTTTTGGGCTTTTAAATTCACTAATTTCATTTAAAGCATAAGCATCATAACAAAATAAACATGTCAGCACATAGTGTTTAGTAAGAAATTCCGTTGTTCAAAGAGTTCCCATTTATTTCAGCTGAACAGAAATTGCTGTAGCCAACATCAGCAGTATTAGCAATAATCTCCTTGAAATTTTATTTAATATAAAGACTGCTTATGCAGTTAAATAAACCTGATTTGGTGTGTTTACAGTTATTTCTATATGAATGTTGTTTATGAAGACAACATCCTGATTAGGCGTATCATCACAGACAAAATACAAGAACTTGCATTAGATTTGCTTGCACGTCTTTTTGAAATACCTGCCAAAGGCTGAGAGACTCCTAAAAATTTGTAGTAATACTAATTATTTTTAGGATGCTCAAGAAACAAAAAGAGCTAAGAGACAGTAAGGCTTCCAAACTTAACCTACAGTTT